CCAACAATCCACACAATTATGAATTTAATATACTACATAAGGCCGATAATGTAGGTTACGACGAATTTGACTCCATATGTTTTATTGGTAGCCAATCCACCGAGGCGCTGCTAATGCAGTTCCAATCTGTTTTGTGGCTTCGACTTTACCTCGCAGCGTGTATTTCCAGGGAGGAATACATTAACCTAAGATTCTTCGCCCATGGTACCATTTAATTATATAATAAATTTTATATTTGGGTTACTGTAGGCCTGAAGTGACCCGATTCCATTTTACATTTCTGTTATCTGTGCCGGAAGAATGAGATGTTGAAGGTATATGGATATCAGATATAAAATTCTAATTTGTAATATAGATAGAATCTCTTTTTCATTTATATTGCAAGTAGATGAGCAGGGGATAGCCGGAAAAGAAGCTGGAGCAGGACAACTAAGACATCTTGCTTTAATTGTGTGCACAACGTTGGAGATACCAATGAATTTAATGTTGCGGTGGCTCAACTCAGATAAGTGTCGGTCCTGTAGCGTTTGAAGTATAAGTGCAGGCTCCGTTGACGATTCGACACTTTCATGAAAGGGGATCCAGATTGTAAATAATCCGATCGTCTGTACTTTCTAAGGGCAGAACCTTAATCAAACAGACGATGTAGGAGTGGGCATATCAAGCAACGGTGGCGTGCAATGACGAATTTATTTAAATTATCAGTGAACTTTACGACAATAGCCATAGTATTATAAATTTCATCGCACTTGTTGTTACTTGATGTAATTTCATTGCTCTGTCTCTTTAACTTAGGCACAGGTTCGCCTTCCGTCTCCCTTATTAATGGCAGCTATCAATGCTGCATCCAATGCTGCTAGAAGGACGTCAGTCACTTCGAACCCAGGCTCAGATTTCTTCGTTTGCACTCCTTCTATTGCCTCTAGTGAACCAACTTCGTCTCCTCCAGGGCTTTATTCTTTTGGGTCAAGCTTCGCGCATTCGTTTGTTGGAGCTGCTGCTCACAGTGTATCTGGTATTTCGGGCTCTGTCTCATCAGGCTCCAACCCTAGCGCCGCCATCGCCTCTTCAGTTGGA